GTGTGTGTGTGTGTGTGTGTGTGTGTGTGTGTGTGTGTGTGTGTGTGGGGATACCTCCGACATATGCCAAGAACACAAAATATGCAGAACTGATCAGTGTGGAGCCGACAGGACCAAACGGCCTGTGGGGATCGGTTTAGTGGACGGGCACTCTGAAGCACAACCCAAAAACTAACATTTCTAACGAATGAAATAACAAAAATTAGGGGAACACTCACAACTCTGTAGGTAACGAGTAGCTCAGTTTAGACGTTATGTAGCATTATTTATTTACCTTTTATTTCTATAGAGATAGGACGCCTCCCTTACTGCCTCTAAACCTGTTTTTTCTTTTTTGTTGTTTTTTGCTCCTTTTGATTTCTGTGTTCATTCTTAAATGGACGGCAATAATGACGCAATTTTAAACATTTTCTTCGCAATAAGTTTGGCCTTCCCTCAGTGTATGCATGTCTCTATCCCACCCCTCTTTTTAAGTTCCTTTATCTTTATTTAGACATTTACAGACCAGCGACAGCTCTTCTGTTGAGTTGTTACTCCTCGAGTGCCCGCTTCCCATGTTGAGGGATTCCCCACAACAATAACTCTTTACACTTCTGTGCTTGGCTGCATATCATACACAAAGAAAACAATGTTTGGGTTTCACAGTATATTAATGTTTTTTTGTTGTTTTTTTGCTGATTAATAAATGGTGTCACTTTTAGAAGTAAAACTGTACGTCAAGACCTTTTTTTCTTTTTTTTTTCTTTTTTTTTTTTTTTTTTTCTTTTTCTTTTTGTTGTCTTAGCTCTCATCTGATCCTGATCCTACGTTGAGCCTTTTTATTTGGTTGTCATATTTAATTTTTTTGGAATAAATACTCTGTGTATGAAACATGTGTTTGTGTTTTTCATATTAAGACATCTTAAAATGGAAAGGTTTAGAGAGCAGTAAAACGCGCTCACAGACGTCACTGTATTCTGTCTGCACTTTGAATTCAATTTAACTTCAATAGAAATTGAATGTCGAAGGGACGGCACACCCCAAAATTAAAAAATACATATGTGGTGCTATTTATCAATCTAGTTTTGGTGTAAGAACCGTTTTATTTCCTACATAAAACTTCTCGCAACAGGGTCGGTGGATTATGTTGAGTTATGATTTTTGGAAGGAGACATTGCTGTTTTTCAAACCACAAGCCGATCCATAGAGTACAATTATACTGGAAGGAAGGCAACGTCTCTACGGCCGATATCTCCAAAACTAGGCAACTCCCACCAAAGCAATCTAGATTGATAACTAGCACCACATGTGAGAGGGCTGAACTTTATAGAACTTTATGAATTATAGGCGTGCACGGTAAACTAATAAAGCAAATCGGTGCGCTGCTGAACCAACAGGCCTGACTTTACCTGGCGGTGCAGTATACAACAGGACACTATAAAGGGATGCTATCTGTGTGTTTATGCACTCCACCTTCATAGGTGCACTGCGTTCATTATTACTGACGGGAAATGACGAGAAGGCGGTTATCAGCGAAAGACATACTTTATAATTGTTCCTTTGTGTAATCTCTGTGTTTACACTTCCTTTCGGTCCGTGCTTATAAATCCAAATTAGCTCGGTGCACCGTCTCCACTTCCTGCTTATGTAACATCCTCTGGTTTTTAATTGTTTAATCCCGCGCTCCTATAAAACACTCAACTTTGATTAAACAGTGTCCTCGTTGCACTGTGAGTCACAGGATACACGTTATGTATGTTTCCTGATGGCACTGTCCTGCTTCAACCTGCACTTCTACACCGTGGATGGGCATAGAACTCCCAGTAATAACTTTCCACATCATGTATTCCCATATTTAAATGTTTCTTTTAAAGATGATTTCAATGATCAACAACACGTTACGCTGCGTAATGTTACAATGTGCGTTAGAAAGTGACACCATGTGAACATGTTGGCCATTGACTTCCTGCTGGATTCTCTCTCACAACTCTCAACTGTATGACGACTCCGTTTGTTCCCAACTGCCACAACGAATCGTATTAGCTTACTAACAATAACTTGTGCAGAACTGATGGCTTGACCTGAAACAGTCACATCCACTATACTTGAGTATTGACCCTGCATTGATGGCTAATAAAGGTAACACTTTGTAATGGCAGACTTCAAAACATCACCAAATTGAAGCTTTGAATATTGCAGCTTGACAAAAACAGAATCGGCAGATAAATAACTGAGAAATAAACTTGCCCATTGAAGTGAGTACTGCATCCCTTTCAAGCTCTGGAGCAAGTGAAGCACTTTGGGCTACATGTTTGTGTGAAAGCTGCTTTAGATTAATAAAGTTAAGTTTAAAGGTACCAAGATGATGTGAAACAAGGACACAAACTTCTCTGTTAGCCACAGGGATTGGTTCTTCTCAGATTGGCCCGAAGCCTCTTTCATTAGTGTGGAAAAACAATTCTCAACTATTCATTTTGTCCATATTTTTTTGCATGAAATAAACAAACATACCATCAAAAAGACATTTACGTTTAAAAGTGTCTCCCGAACTTTCAAGGAAAAGGAGCTTCCTTGTATTTGTCAGTCTTGGAGGGTCTCTGGTGAGGAGCCCCTCCACACCTCAGGATGTGCAGCTTTGTCATGATGCTCCTGAAGCAGTGGTTTAACATGCTTCTGACAGCCGCCGAGGAGAAGTAGAAGATAATGGGATCCAGGCAGGCGTTGAAGGTGCTGGAGAGCAACGCCACATTCCTCCACTCCTCACTCTCCTGGCGAGCGAACCCCACCACGTGGGAGGCGTTGTAAGGCCCAAAGCAGACGGCGAATACTATCAGTGTGCCGAGCGCCAGGCCGATGGCACGCAGCCTCCGGCGCCTGCCGATGTTCGGAAGACGCGACAGGATGAGGATGAAGTTGACGTAGCAGAAGCAGCAGATGATGAAGGGGACGCAGAAGAGAACAAGGAAGAGCTCCAGGCGGACCGGCAGCACGATGTCGAGCTCGTCCTGGGTGAAATTCTGGTAGCATGTGGGTGGAGGCCCGGCAGACTCGCTGGCGGTGCTGCCATTGCTGTTGTCACTGTCTGCTCCGTTGCTCCACTGGGTGTAGGGCATGATGTAGACGATGCTGAGGTTCACGGAGGTCACCACCCAGAACAGGATGCTGGCCAACACGGCATAGCGAGGTCTGCGACACAGGGAATACCTGAGGGGGAAGGCGACCCCCAGGTAGCGCTCCACACTCACAGCTGTGAGGAGCAGGGTGCTGTTGTAGATGGTGACGTAGAACAGGAAACCGGTGAAGGGACACAGGGCGTAGGGAAGCAACCAGACCATGCCGTCGGAGGCCTCCTTCATCTTAAACGGCAGGAAAGCCAGGAAGATGAGGTCGGAGATGGTGAGGTTGAGGAGGAGGATGTCTATCGGGGCTGCCCTGCGACGCACCTTGCGGTAGAAGGTGAAGAATGCCAGGATGTTAGCAGGGACCCCCATCAGGAAGGTGATTATGTAGACGGAAAGCAACAGCTGACGACTGCACAACATGGCGGCTGCTCACACCAAGGACGGACTCTCTCAGACACTGGACACAAGAAAACAGAGAGCATATAAGCAAAGAATTCAAGGGGGATTTTGCTGAATAGTTAATATTTTAGAGAGATATTCCCTCTTTTGAATCTGTGATTCAGTGGGCTTTCTAAAGTTTGGTCTGGTTTTGGCTCTAGGGATAGCAATGTCGTTCGACCCACCACTTTGGTAAAAAGTGAAATATTTCAATAACTACTGAATAGTTTGCCATGGGATTTTGTATAGACATTCATGGTCCCCAGAGGATGAATCCTACTGACTTTGCTCATCCGCTGATTTTTCCTGTGGTGCCACCATCGGGTTGACAGTTGTGGTTTTGAGTAAGGTACATGTACATATTGTCTTTGTCCAATGCTTTGGTTTTTGACCAATTACCTGCAAAACTGATGACATTCTCATCAGCCTCAGCTGTACTTTGTTTTTATTGTATGCACATTTATTTTTGTTGAAAGAAATCATAAAAGTGGCGTTCATTTGTGAAGATTATCTTGCTGATCAAAACATATCAAAAGTGTTTGTTTGCCACAGAACTTAATTTTTTGTAATAATCTAAAATCCAATGGAAAAATCCCATTGGCTTTTTGACCGGGGAACCAGTGCGTTGCTAACAAATATCAAAAATATCATCTCTGCAGCACTATATGCCTGCTAAACATGATAACATTATCATTGTGAGCATGTAAACATGCTTACCACAGAAAAATCCTTCAACTACTCCCAGAAGGAAACCCTGCATGTACAAGATCAAGCACATTACATTCATCTGAATATAGAGTTATAGAAAAACTAAAAATCAGATCCTCTGTAAAGGCAATGAGTAAAATTAAAATTTGTAAAAGTTACTCCTGAAATGCCTCAAAACGTTAGAGGCAATGATGAATTAATTACTCAAATAAACCCTTCTCATTCATTTTAACAATTGCAAGTAAAGACGTAGAAATGTTGCTTCAAATATCTCACAAACCGTCTGTGTTTGATAAAAGTCTTCCTCTTTAAAACTTCACAGACTCTTTCAATTGAAATCAGGGATTTAAGTTGATATATGAAACTTGACAAAGGTGAGAATACAGAAATCTATATGAAAAACCCTGCGTGAGTTTGGTTGTTTAGGGATATGTTACACTAAATATTCTTTTTTTGTATTTCTTATTCTCAATAAATCCCATGAAAAGACTAAAACCAGCAATATGTTAGCCTGTCTTTAAATACTTTCCACTTCTCTACCCCTTCTGTGGCACTCAGCCCAAAGCCCACTGGTTCATACTGAAAAAGGACATCTTTAAAATAAAATGTAAAAGTCACAAATACTATATTTACATTTCTCTAAAAAGGCTAAATCATATCTCTAGCTTTTTTTTTTTAGCATATTTCACTAAAATAGGAGAAAATGTCTTAACTATTTTCAGATGCTGTAGTGAGTATTAGGACAGTGTTTGTGGGATTTCCGAATAATAAACCACAGTGCCCACAGGATCATGTCAATGTGTGTGGCTCATTAATGTTTTGTTTTTTTAACCACGAGTGAATTTTGAACTGCGATGATTATACCTGCATCTCGGTGTCCTTGTATTATATTGTATTTAGTTTTTGTTGTATTTGTATTTGTTGTATATGGACTCATGTGTCTGGAAATAAAAGTTGAATAATGTGTTTTTAACAGCAACAATGGAAGTCTGTAACACAGAGGAAGAAGCTGTACAAGGCTTCGTACACATGGACTGCTGTTCAAATCAAAGCTTCGAATTCCAGCATTTACCTCTCGCAGTTTTACCCAGCTCCTTACTATCAAACAAGACCCCCATCGGTTTCAAAAATGAGACAAAATATAAATATACATCATTGATAAGTTACTGAGAAGTGTGACTAACTCACCTCTTTAAGGCTTGAAAAACCAGACTCTCCATCACCGGCCGTCCTGTCTGATGCTGCAGCACTCTGGCAGCATGCTTCGCCTCCTGGAAGCAGAGTGTTTGATCGGATCACAAGCCCGTCCTACTGTATATCTGCTCTCTCACCGTGAATGTGGGGGGGTGGTGTGGGGGGGGGGGGGGGGATTTAATAAGCTCCTGGACCCAATCTTTGTTGTCCTCACTGTCCAAACAACGTTTCACAGCAACCGTTCAAAAGCTCAGTGTGATATAGGTGGAAATGTGTCGCAATAACTTTTCTTTGTGTGAAAGGCTTTGATAGTGACAAAGAGAAGAGCAGATGTTGAATCTAGGTATCTCACTGTGGTGAGGAATTACATGTGCACTCTACATGTTCCCATAAAAATTGCAATTTTTATTTTGTATTCACAGCAACGCTGAAAAACAATGTAGAGACTTCATGTCTTATGAGTGTTTATCTTTTTTAAAAAACCAACATAATCCGATTATGTAGCAAACATTGTGTATTTCATTTAAAGGGTTCTGCATTGACAGTGAAATAAAGGAAAAACGAATTCAACACGATACAAACAATCAAGGGAGCTGTAAATGTGCTTGAATAATAAGGACTTTAAATACTGTTACGTACAGACCTGCTAATAAAATATGCTTCAATTAAATTGAATGTATGTTTTGGCATAAGAGCCAAACATGAAAACCTAATTCCACATTAATCCACCAAAGTAGCATCAGAATTTCCCTTCAAAATATCATCAATAGTTATTCCAGGAGCTGACTTACCCGTTATGTTACCACCAGTGGCGTGCATTCCAGTTCTGGCAGCCGACTGGTGTCGGTCCACTGAGATGGTTCAGTCTGCAGCCTGTGGAGTCCCTCAGCTCCTTCAGTGGTCTGTCAGTTTGTGTCCCAGCCCCTCCCACCAGCCCCCTTTCTATTACACCGTCTGCCTGCACAACAACATTCTCAACAACAAACCTGAGTAGTTCTGCTGCGTGGTGCCAAATGATCCCTGGCTGATCTGACGTTGAACAGTACTGACATGTTTATGTGTATGACAGTTTACACACCAAGATGTAGTGTGTTTATCTTTATTGTAAAGTTTTTTACTCTTCAAATGTATTTTTTTAAATTTATTTCTTAGTTTTTTAAAAACTTTTGAATATTGGATGTTTACTTTGTATTATTTGTATTTATTTGATTGTTTCCATGTCCTTATCACCTCATTTGGTTTTGACATTCTATTATCTCCGCCAGGAGGATCATGCGATCGCTGTGTGTTTGTGCGCGTGTCCGTGCGTGAGTGAGTGTGCACGTCTGTGTCTGTCCACGGCTAATCTGCTGCAGCAAACTGCATTATATTTGTGCTGCCCAGTAATGTCTGTGTGCTCAAGGGACACTTGTGGTTTCTCAAAACACCTTTTATTGCTTGTTCTATGCAGCCATTAACTGCCTGCTGACTCCTCACTCACTATACTCACCACAAGGGGCCGTCAGTGATAACACAGCTGAGTGCCTCCCTAACACCCCCATCTGCTGCTTTGTGGAGAACGGTTCATGCTATGTTTGGCTAACAGCTAACAGAACTACCAGCACACACACACACTGCTGTACCTTGTCGCATGTATCGCTGCTTGTTTTTGAGTCTAAATGAAGTGTGTTTTACGCACAATACAGCAGTGGTCTTTGCAGACACACCTGGCACTTAGTGTACCTTTCTTGTTGATTTATTGAGTGGGCTGTGTAAATTGTTTTTGTGTTGAATATGTGAATATGTCAGAAGGGTCTTATGTTTAACACTCTTTGTGAATAATGCAAGCATGCCATTGTTGTTTTTACATTCAAGGTTTGACATTATCATAAAACCTTTGAAAATATATATTCAATTTTAATATGTGATATATTATAATACTTGATTTAAAGTATATATCTAGATATAAAACTCCCATTCCTTGATAACAGATCATTCTTAAGATCATTTTAACCCTCCATTTGAATGTGTTTTTTGTAGCAGGAAGATAGAAATATTCATTAAAATGATACTGTATTCCTCTAAGGACAACAGACAACATCACAAAATACATTTGTAAACAACACGCTATATTTTGACGGACATTTCTGAACATTTCACAAGTGAACAGACAGAAGATAATTAACATGTTCAGAAACCAAGCAGTGAATGCACCAACAGATATTCATTAAAATGCGTAACTAATTTCAGACATGAAATTGTTGATGACATGCCTCAGTAGATCTGTTTTGACTCGTCACAGCAGGAAAAACGCATTGAAAACACTTTCCAAAAGAGAACATGACGTAGTTTGTAGTGTTTCCCCGGTTAGAGCTTGGAGCAGTGAGGGACAGACACCAGATGGAGCCATTTGTCATCATCATCTGGTGTTAAGTTCAGCAGTGTTCCCCACTGACTGGTTTAAAACTAAGACTTATAATCGTCTTTTGACATCTTATTTTTAATCTAAAGAAAAAAGGTGATTTGCTGGTGTTAGGAGGAGGTAAACTGGATCTTATCCTTCAGTGGTGATGCTAGATATTCTGGAGGACGATGAGCTTCTATCAGACTGTCCATGAATGTTTTTCATCCGGTGTCTCCACCCACTGTGACCTCACCCCTGACTTTCTTTCGTCACCTCTGCCCCCGCCTGGCTCCTCTCAGATAGCGTGTGTGGCGCCCTGACATTTGCAGCACCGTTGGTGCTGTTGCATCGATGCCGACTCCTCTCGATCCGGCTCAGTTGGCTTTGCCGGCCACAGATTCTTCCTGCGATCCCCCTCGACACCGCTGGCGACAGCATCAGCATGACCACAGGCTCCAGGAAAACATTACAGGAGCTCGTCAGCATGGCGTACGTCCTCCACTCGACGTTTGCCTTCAACACAAACCCCACGATGTGCGAGGCATTGTAGGGCGCATAGCACACCACAAACACGGCCAGCGTGGAGAGAGCAACAGTCAGGACTCTCCTCTTTCCAATGGGGCGCAAGTTTGAGCGCCACACCAGCGTGACGCAGCGCAGCGTACAAAAGGACGTCACGACAAGGGGCAAAAAAAAGAAGACGATGGCCATCTCCAGGCGTAGGGGCAGCAGGACAGCCAGCTGGGAGGCGTTGAAGTGGTCGTAGCAGGCTGAGGCGTCGTCCTTAATGGACACAAAGTTCGCCCCTCCTTCGGCCACAAGGGAGAAACTGAGGTGGAGGAGCACCACGAACCACAAGGCAGCGCTGATGAAGCAAGAGATCCGAGCACGGCGGTACCTCTTGTAGATAATCGGGAAGGCGATGCTGAGGTAGCGCCCCACCGTCACGGCGGTGATGAACAGGCAGCTGCCGTACAGCGAGGAGAAGAGGAAGAAGCTGTAGACGGGGCACACGGGCGCTGGCAGCCTCCAGTCCTGAAGCAAAGTCTCCAGAGCCTTGACGGGCAGCCAGGCCACGAGCACCAGGTTGGCCAGGCAAAGGTTGATTGCGTAGACCACGTTGGGTGTGGCGCCACGCTTGCAGGCCTTGCGCGCATACACGAGCAGGACCAGCACGTTGGCGGGGAGGCCCAGCAGGAAGGTGAAGGTGTAGACGGACAGGGCGGCGCAATCCTTGGAAGACACCTGCATGTTTTCAACAGCTGCCGAGAGCCACAGGAAGTCCGGCCAAATGGAAGCGCTGGCTCCAATTCACCATGACAAGGATGAATCTTCAAAACAGGAAAGGTCAGGACTACGACGAGCTAGCAATCTAACTATTTGACGGGTAGTTAGGTGCACGGTTGTCCTCGTGTCCTCTCCATTTATTAACCACGTCTTCCAAAAGACAGATTCTCCATTGGTGGCAGCTGCTGTAGTTCCAGGGTTTGTCAAACTCAGCTCTGAGACGTAGACAATAACTCTGAGACTGGAAAAAAGGAGGCGGTGGCCACAAGGTGGGCAGGAAGGGGGCGAGGCGCATACGACATTGAGACAGAGATGGAGATAAGGAGACGCATCCACTCATGCAGAAGGGGGTCATTTAGCAGGCACCAGGCTGCCTTAATTGCCCTCTCAGTGAAGGGCAACAGACAGGTAGCATCTGGGACCTTAAGTGCAATGATTCAGACTAATTCAGCGTGTCAGGAAGCACATGTCCATCCCCTTAAAGCCCAAGCTGTCTAAATGAACTGGAGGGCCAGGGCAGTAAAGTCATAAATGTGCTGAAGTTGATAGTCAATGCGAGGACAGGATGGGTTGGGCTTTGGGAAACGTCTTGTTTGTGGCGCGTTGGCCGCTTTTCACAGTTTTATGGTGGAGAATGAGTTCTTTACTGAGCATGTGTGAAAGGTGGGTGAGCCATGCAAAAGGGCCTTTTGGTGTAGAAAATGGAGCAGAAAATCACCCGGGGCTTGTTGCAGGAGCATTTTATTGGGAGCAGGATGACGGATACCAAGAAGTGTTTTTTCCGAGAAAAGACCTGCAGCAGATCAACACATGCAAGCTGTTTGATTAGTGCATTGATCCACTGCTCAAAACAAACGTGTTTATAGTTACTCTTCTCATATCTAGGGAAGTAATTACAACATATTTACCATATTTATTAGCAGAAGTGAAAGTGACATTAGCACCGGCGTCATTCACCTTTCATATTTTTTCCCGGTTTTGTTTTTCAGGAGCTTACAGTGGGTGTTTCCATCATGAGGGCCATTAGATTTGCTCCAGCTAAGTTGTCAGTCAGAAGCCAGAGCTTTGAAGAAAATTGGTATGACTTAATCAATGATTCAATTTGCTCATATTGGAAAAAAGGCATGAATCCGACAACTTGTTCTAATGTTGTTATTTCCCCTAATTTTCCATATCTACATAGGGAAAAACCAAACACTGGCTCTAGCTAGAACCTTTCCCGTTTTACGTTACCTGAAGGCCACCGTAGTTCTCTGACGCTTGGAAAGGAAGGGGTGAGCAGAGTGGTATTCAGTTGGATGCAATCTGCAAACTCACCACTAGATGCCACTAAATCCCACACACTGCTTCCTTTTAAGGAGATCTACGGCCATTTGCAAAATTCCTACATGTTGTTTCTACGGTCTAAGACAGTCCAAAGCTATTAGTAAGCATTGACACATCTTGAGCGCTAACTCAAATTTGTAATGACATCAAGTATAAAGGGTGGAAGTGCTCCATCGACAATGAATTGGAAAATATGTGACAATAACATTGAGAGCACAAAGAGGAATGAGCTGAATTATACTTGATGACATCTTAAGTTTGAGACTTCCCTCTCTGCTTCTCTGGCTCATCTTCACAAATATTGATTGAACTTTCCCAGGATGTGACAAAAACATAGCAACTCTGAATTGAGGCGGTATTATTAAACTTATTTGACCTGCAAAATTGAATTTGGTGCCACTTGGCGGCAGTGGAAACAAGTTGTGAACACAACATTGATGTATCATCTTTTAAGTTGTTATGGCAGCTACAGAGAAATATCATTCATTTGGAGTCCTGTTTGTGTCGACCTGATGAAGGTAAGTCAAATATTTACTCTCTTTTGGCTGTTTTTGGTCTCTACACTCCACTATTCACTAACTAGTCTGTGACTGGGTCTCTCTGCTGTTTGGTGCTGATCCGGTGGGTGTACAGTGTACAGTGAGTTTTTTGCTATTCATTAGTCTGTAAAACACTTTCCAGTGTCGATGCTAACTATAACCATAACTTTAAATTACAATCTAAATATAATTCGATATTATTGTATGATTTTACTGTCAGCTGTGTTGCATGTTAGGACCGGTGCTTTTTTTTTGATCTCAGAAGTTGCACGGATACATAATCATTTAATGTAATTTCTTGTATGAAAGCGTGTCTTTTTCTGTGACTTTGGGATCCAGCATCTGCCTACAATTATAATAATCTGACTTTGTGTACAAGTGTATCACATAACAAAAAAGAGAGAATACTTTTCATATCATCATCAAAATTATGCAAAAAACATTTTTGTGAACATATATTCAGACGCCAGAAATATCTTTATCACTAAATATTTAATTAAGACGAGAGGAAACAAGCATATAATCCACATTACAGTTACTTGTGATTATTAACACAACACAGAGCAAATGAACCACACAAAGGTCTACACAGGTCAGAAGAATACTTCTGTTTTTTAAATAAATAGATAAAATTGTCCTCCAGCAGTAATGGGGAGGATTAATTCATTCAAGAAGTTAAGAGACTTGAATGTATCTCAAGTGTGGACAGAAAAACATAAAGTGAAAGCTAAAAATGAAGGAATCACCCTCATCTATGTGTTGAGCTATGTCCCTTCCCTTCACAAACTGGACCCCGTCTCATGCTACTGAGCCAGCAGCTGCAGGTTGCTCCTGCCGCTGGAGTTCGTGAGTGGAACCAGCAGCACCGGGGTTTTCTCAGTGCTGGAGGTTGTTGGGAGGCGGGAGCGGGTGTTCACGCTCCGTTGTTCCAGAGACAGGGCTTCCTGTTTCCTGGAAAGATCCTGCAACATGCGGGAATGATGGAGCTTCATCTTCTGCATAGAGTGCCTGAGCGAGAAAAGCATGGGTGAAAGTTTTAGAGTGATTTCTTTCCCTTTTTGGCATTCAAAATAACAGTTATGAGCCACTTTTGATCTGTAGGTAGGATCTTGTATTGTTTCTGATATTTACTCCTGTGGCTTCTTATTGGTTAAATTTTCAGCCAGTGCCACGTACAGTACATACTAACGAGTAAACTCACAGAATGACTTGTTGTTCGACGTCCCTGTATGTGCAACCTATAAGATCCACTTGGTGATCTGACTCTGACTTACTGAGCTTCAGACAGCTTCTGTTTCAGAGCCCTGATTGTAGCCTCCAGCTGATGGACTTCATTAACGAGGCCGTGCTGCACCTGCAAACAAACAGGAAGGAAAAGATGAAGTCACATTAACCGCAGTGACCTAACCTGGCCCAATCACTACTGTTACTTCTGCTTTGAAATACTACAGTACGTATTATATTCAAACCTCGTCTCTGCACAGATCCATGCCAGCTCTGCTGGTCCTGTTCTCCAGTCGAGTATGAGCCAGTTTCAGGGAGGCCGTCTTTGCCAGCACATCTGCATCCAGGCCGTGGATGTCTCTCCCCATTTCTGCCATTTCATCTTCAGTCTGCAGGCGGTCAGAGACACTTAAACTATAAACAGCAATCTCTCACCAACCAGCACCATGGCTGGATTAAAACAGCTGCAACCCCTGCACACTTTATCTCAAATCCACGAACAATAACAACCTGCTGTTATAAACTACATGAGGACTCACATTTCTTATTTGCCACTCCAGCTCGTCACGGGCCTGCTCTTCATGGTGAATGCGCTTACGAAGGGCGAACTCCGTGGCACGGCGCCGAGTGTCCAACTCATTCTGCAACTGAGGAAAACCAGGATAGAGGACGAATGAATTGCAAATGTGCCACATTTGACATGACAGAAGAAATGACAACAGAAACTACCTCATGCACACCTGGGCTCTGGTGAGACTCATGTCCTCCCTCATTTGCTGGGACACCTGCATGGCCTCCTGGGCACGGGCCACATTATACTGGCTGAACTGGACCCATTCCTGGGGGGTGGAGGAACTACAACAAGGATATTTCAGTATTATGATATTTCAATGAGGCGTGTGTCAACCAGGAGAGGTGAAAAAGAAAGCATTACTTCATCGTGCACACCCCCATCCCAAGTTTACCCCGATGGTATGCGGGTTGGGTTGGTCTTCAGGGAGATCTGAGGCGACTTGATGGTAAGCGACAGGCACGACATATCAATGTCCAGGGCGTCCATCTTGTTCTGGAGGTCAGCGGTCAGCTGGTGCCGAGCCTCCTGCAAAACACTACGATGGAGAACATCGGAAAGTTCGTCGGAGAAAATACCTCCGCAGTGTTTCTTGCATCACGCCGTAGCTTCCCTCACCACAGCTGCTCGAAGGCCTCGTCGATGTGCTGCTGCAGAACTTGCTGCATTCTCTCAATCAGCGCCACCTCCTTCTTCAGCTGTTCGTCCACGGGGTCGACGGCGAGCTCGCACCCTCGCCGTCCGTCCCTCAGCGTCAAGCATTCGCCGCCGACCTCCAGGGGAACGGCAGTTGCAGCCAGGGCCTGCTCCGTTTGCTCTTTGGACTGTCCCAACACACACCGAGGCCGAGGTCAGTTAAGTCAGAGTCCAGCAGCATCTATGCTCATAATTCTTTTTGATTTTTAATATTGAATGATTCCAGGAATATTGATCTCTTAGGGGAAACACACACACACATATATTTAGGCCAGACACTCAAAAAAGGCCGACATCTTTGTACTATTATGAACATGGAATGAGACAAACTGAGTCGTTTCACAAGTGTTGGGATAAATCACCAGGGTCAGAGCCGCCATCTCTTCATCCACTCTCTGTGCGCAGGTTTCCAGCTCCTCTTTCCGCCGGGCAACATCCCACGCCCGGTCCCTCAGCCTGCGACAGGTATCGCTTTCATCCCAGGTGGTCTGCGGAGAAAAGAAAAAGAACAGTTTGACAACATGTGGACATATTAAGTCATGTGTGGACAATGCGTGGTGTTATGCAATATTCTTCTTCCTGTAGAGACACACTGACTGTTCGCCAACATGAACCCACCTTACAGTTGGTCTCGTTGCGTAGTGACCTCCCCTCCTGCCGGATCACACTGGAAACAAATCGCTCATGCTGAGCCGTGGCAGACAGCTGGTGGTTGTTGCTGTTCCACTCTGACACACTGTGGCGCAGGCCAGGCTTCACAGGAAGTGCAGACATCCTACAGCTGCGGCGACACGCAAACATCCAAATCACAGTATTGGTAGAGTGCAGCTACATGTGCAGGATTTGTTTTGGGTAGCATGTTAATGCCCTTGAGTTTCACAGTGAGCAGACGCAGACCAACAGAGCTACTTTGGTCAACGTTTAAGACAGAGCGGTTCTTCAATTATAATTAACAGAGTTTGCGAAAATCATAATGTTCCTTTCAAAGAGGAAGGAGAAAGTATTCGGCCTTTGCCAAAGTCTGATCACCTCGTCCCATCCTGTGCACAGTCTGAATGACCCAGAAAACATCACAAGTAGACGCAGGAGAACGATGAACAAAGTGCAGCATGGGAAAATTAATTGAATTGCATATTTAATTACATATTTCCATTTTGTGAGATTTGATATTTTCCTGAAGTTTCATGTGATTCTCCTGACTACATAAAGTGCATGTATTGCTGTAGGCCTAGTTAAAACTACCTAGACCTTTAGTTTCACTTAAAATGGTTACCGTCATTCAATATTAAGTGACTCAGAGGTGAGTGTTGTTACCATATACACACGTTTCAGGTGACGTTGAATATTTTACGGTTAATTTGAATGCAGCATTTCAACCTAATGGGCTGTTTGCTAGAAGGACACTATTCACAACTTGTAACGGATATTATGTAAATGAGTTGAGGTGACGAGGCCGTAAAGTGTAGCTAACTACCGAAACATGAAGCTGCTAGGTGTTGCTGCGGTTAACGAAGCTGAATTTAAAACACCGTGACGTCAAACATTTTGCATCTCAAACTTTTCTTATTGAATTCTACTCACCGGAATTCTAGAACGTTCAGATAGTCGGCGCGTGCTGGTTCCTCTGCACCAGGTTTCCTATAGCGACAAGTGCACGAGCCGTCTCCGGGGCAACGAGCCGACACACAACGCTCGCGTGGAATTCTTTAATAATTAAAACACCGTGGCAACGTTCGTGACGTCCCTCCTCTCCGTGACACCGTCAGCCGAGAAGGAACGCAACGAAGGAAAAACAAACTTTGACACGTATTGTTCCAGCTCGAGCGTCGGGCGGAAACGTTACTATGCAACATTTTAAACACCAAATTATGTGACGTCATTATGAATTTCAGCTGTATTGACACTTCAGAAGTTGTTTTTTTAATCACACTTCCTCAGATAGCTTCTGTATCGACACGTGTCAAATACTGATAGTTGGGATTTGTCAAAATCTCTGACATTGGAGCATCAACTATATGACGAAAGCCCAAAGTGTGGACCAGACGTTGTCAGGTGAGGTGTTAGTGATCAATCAACCAGTACACTATAAAAACATCTGCTTACGAGGTATTCCTATTATCATATCACAGTCTTTGGTGAACAGCGATCTAAATGTGTAAACATCATTTTTAACACCCATCAAAATAAAGCTGAAATTCCTGTGAGGTCACAAAATCTGATGGGTGGTGGAATTTGGTGCGATAAGGCTTCATATTCAAAACTAAAAATACTGAAAAAGAAACACAGAAAACACAGCCAAGTTTCATTTGATCACCTCGCTCGCTACACAAAATGGACCTGCGCCGACCAACACTCGGGTATAAACACTGTTTTATTGTAGTATCAGATTTAGTCATGCCAGTGGTTATATTTTTCTCCATGCTGTGGTGACTTTCAGTGTATACAAAAGCTGGTTAGTTATAACTACCATCACTCGCATCCCAACTACCCTCAGCACATTCCTGACCGTGGTTGTTTTATGGTCTTCTGTCAGCAGCAACGGTTCCCAAAAGTTCAGAGATTAGGGAAGATTGTGAAAAGAAAAAACACCACCTCAGGTATCCACTACAATGCAGCAATACTAGTGAGCCAATTAGAGGCTGGTCTCAAAACAAAACCTGTTACGACTGAACCTCTTTCAGTGCATTTACACCAGTGATCTATTAAGCAGATATACAAACAAACTGTATTTTAATGCCCGTTAAAAAAAAAATGATCCCCAACTTGAAAATCATCATTTATCTTTACAGTGCACCCAATGTGGACACCAGAGAGATGGAGACTGTGTCAAGACTTCATTGAGTCTGAACCACTTTGCCAGAGCACTATGCCGATTACCTGAGCTATGTGAACGCCTAGATTCTCACACTGGCTTCTATTAAGGCCTCGCACTAAACATATAAGCTGCACGCCTGTGCCTTGAAATCTGCTTTGACTGTCAGACATTTTTTTGTTTTGTTTACCGACCTTTGATTATGTTTATAGAGTTTGGGAGCACTGCCTGGTGCTTGGAGTGTCAGGGTAAAGTTACCTCAAATTGCACACAGATCAAAGATATATACACACACACACACACACACACACGCGATCCACTGACGGTCATTTGAATCGTCCTTGGTAACAGTGATCAAAATATATGATTTGCCCATTATGCGTTGGGGGGGGAAGTAAATAGTAGAATCAGCTTTTCTTTCTGTGCACACATTCTTTAAACACTAATAAATTAAAAAGCAAAGAAGAGCTATCATTCGAGTCATTTAGTAGTTTCAAACACAGCAAAAAAAAAAAAGTAGGAGTTTGCCGTACGATAAAAAGGTGAAATCTTTAAAAGGAAATTTTTCTGTGGCGGGTTAATAATTTAAAAGTAAAAAGAAAGTTTGGTGCAAGCGTGGTGGTGGTGCTGCGCGGAGGTCCTTTCAAGCAGAGGCGAGAGGTTCATGTAGCTACACAGTAAACGGATTTCAGAGCGTTCAGGCCTCAAACAGCTGGAGGAGGCGGCGGCGGCGGCGGCCTCGAGTTCTTCAGCGGTCTTCTCGAAGCCCTGCTCGCGTGTTTTTGTGTGTGTGGTCCAATTTCAGCTGGAAATTGTCTCTCGTTCTTCCTTTCCTGGCATTGTTCAGGTGGGCGGGACGATGCGACGCTGTGCTCGTGACGTTTGTCCAGTCCACGGTCACTGTGGCGTCGCATCTCCGTTGACTTCTACGCCGTGCTGCTGTAGCTGCGCTCGGAGCAGTGCGTTGTCGTTCTTCAGTTCCTCAATCTAGAAAAAAAACAAAAAACAAAGAAGAGAGAATTAGAGACATGGAGACAGAAATAGAAAAGTTAACAGAATAGAAGAGATTCATTTTCTTGTCCCGGTCAGAAACACACGAGCAACATTAAACGCAACAAGGAGAGAAATGCTTAAACCTGCGTGTTCCCACTCTGCCCGCTTTAGTGTATTATTTGGTGACATCAATGATTGTTAACACAATAGAACAACAGTCATGCTGGTCGACATTCGAATATGGCGTCCTATGCCTCTCCAGTGGACAGAGACCTTTAACCAGGCGACTCTTCGTCTGTGAGCCGACCTGCCAGAGAACCGGTGGAGGGGAAGGCGGTGTGCTTATGATGGATAATGCAGCAGTCAGAAGGACCTGACGGGATCGCATTTCACTGGAGTTGTACCTCGATTTCAGACGACCTTCACTACAGCCACGAGGAACATGATCCTTCTGCTGAGAACAACCCGCTGGAAGTGATTTTTAACTGTTGCTCATCGTCTAAGCAAATAGAGTTCATTAAAGCCATTTGGCTTTTTTCAAAGTCTTTCTATTAAGACTGATTCTATATTCAGTTAAAAACATTCTATGATGTTTACAAGCTTGAAACTGATAATTAATAACTCTCATACGAGTTGAACGCAGCATGAGTTACTATAATGACATCGTCGTCACTCAGCCTGACTGACGGAAAGTACAGCAGAAAGAAAAGAGAGATGAGGAATATAAATATATAAATATATATTATACATGTTTGGGAGGTTCACCTGTTGTCTCAGCAGCTCATTGTCCATCTCGACCCGCTCCACCTCTTTGTAACTATCCTGCAGTCGCTGGTTGCTCTGGCGCAGCTCTCGGATGTAGTCGCACGCTTTGGACAGGATGCCTCCTTTACTCTGAGACACACAACACGTCGAGAAGTTAAATATGACTCAGCACTTCCTTTTATTTCCCTACCATTGTTTGACTCACAAGAACCTTTGCCGACCTTTCCTCTTGTGACTAAACCCTTTCAGATTCTCTCAGACAAACGTCTGGTTACTGCCACCCACCCACCATGAATACTATTGGCTGTGGTTACACCGGCTGTTTTAAATCAGACTTTCAGCATCTTTTATGCACGCATTAGATGAAAGGACAGGATGCACAGAAAGTATCACTGGTTCATGTGTCGAAGTGAAGACTTGGAGAGCAGAGAATGTAGATCACAGACATTCCAGCAGCGTGTCCTCAAAAAAACCCTCATCTTTAGAGCCGGACTTAATCCAATCAATAAACAGGCAGGGAGCAATCTGTCACTACGCCACATGCTTTGGCAAATTCTACGGTCTTTTAGAGAGCATCATTGTTTGGAGGGCTGATTCCTGCACAGCACTCACCGCTCCAGTTCGGCTGTCTATGCTGCAGTCGGGGATGATTTTTGAAAGTGTGACAATCCAGTTGTTGATCTTGTCTCTTCTTCGTCTCTCCACTGTGAAGAAAGAAAGAAGCTGGTTTTAAACAGGAAAAACAAACTGTTAGACTGAAAGTGTTAGGACTTTTGAAACGGAGAACTTTCAGATGGAACTATTATCTGTGCAGCTTTTACAAAACACAAGCAGACAAGGACTTCAGCGCCCACGTACCTTCATTGTGCTGTGCTCTTCGCCTCTCGTCTCTGGGCGCCCGTGGACCCTCCACCTTCCTGTTAAGACACAGCACAACAAAACTTGACAGTGAAATTATTAATACATTAGCAGATTTTCAGTGCTAACCAAATATAGAACACCTGACTTCAAATAATGTTATCGTCAGATGCATCAAACTCATTTTTTGAACTCCTTGAACTGGTCTTTATTGGTCAGCTGAACTGTTTGTGGGATTCAGTTATGTTTTCACCTCCTTTGCTAGGAAGCCCCTCAATAAGATCTGGTGCTACCAATTGCATTTTGTGAAGGTACATGACATACAAACCAAACAAAAATCCACTTTAAAGTCAGGTTGTAGTGCAACAGAATAGGAAAAACAGCACGTGGGGAGAATACGTTTGCTAATTTGAGCCAAAGGGACCCAGTCACAGGATATCAACAGCCTCACGCTGCCCGTTAACTAAACCTGTGAACATACAATGAACGACAGGAGGGTGCTAACGATTGATTAGTGGGGGGGGGGTCGTATGTGAAAAGTGTTCTTCTCACCAGTTTGAACTGCCATGCTGCAACATCTCGCTTTCATCAAGGTCTCTGGGGATGGCAGGTAAGTAGGACACAGTGTGGTTTTCAGATGTTGGATTTTTTTTTTTAAATGATTTTTCTTTTTGTATTTTTAGGTATCTTCATTTGTACACACAACGACAAAACTAATCACTCCAGCAAGGGGAAGGAAGAGGTAAAGGACATCCGATCCACCGTGAGGCTAACATGGGAGGAGGAGAGGGGGAGGGGGGAGGGGGGGGGGGGGGGGGAGGTCGGCCAAACACGTGGAGGGAGAGAGAGAGTGGTTTTGTAACTTCAGGGATGGGATGAATGTGTCATACTCACGCAGTGTAGGTGTGTGTGCGTGGCGCGATGGTGCGAGGGGCTGTCGTCTGCAGCACCTCGGGGGGGCTCATCATCACGTAGAACTGGCCTGGGTTTTAAGAGAGAGAGATGAGGACTAAATAAAAGTTCCACTGATGGTTGGACTTCTGAATTTGGACTTTGGTGTCGGAGCCACTGCCGCTTGCTCACCTCCCGCCTGTGCTATCGTTGGGTCGGAGGTGGCCTGCACGGACACGGCTGTGCCATCGCTGACGGTGGCGGCGGGGAAATAAGCGAAGCGCGTCTCGCCTCCCACGGTCTCGCCGCTGGGACTGCCCCCGTTACTGAAAGGGTTCTGGATGACAGCCTGGCAAAAGGGTGGAGTCAGGGACAAGTCGGTCAAACGGTAAACAAACAACGTATAATATTGGGCTGAAACAAAGTACTTTGAAAATATTCTTTTAATCTGTTAGTTTGCATTTCAGAAAATGCTTTAATTAAAACCCTAGAATGTAATATGGCACTTAAATGCATTGATTGGGTTTTGTTTTATTCTATGCAATTCAAGCAAAAGAATTCGGGGGGATTTTTCTGAGGAACCAATTAGTTGCTAATTTAAAGAGTCTTATTTTCTTCTTTGTTTTTTTTACTATTTGTCTTTAATAACAAGGCAGAAATATTTATTTTCTGATTACTCGATTAATTGATGGAATAATTGATAGAATACTCGATCACTAAAATAATGGATAGCTGCAGCCTTAATAGAATATATAGTAAGACTGTGTGTGTCTTTGTAAGTGTTCACATTGCCGTAGCGGTTCTGAATCCATTCAGTCAATTTATGTTTATTATCCAACAGAAAAATGTTGCTGTAGTTCGAGGCCCAAAACTGGAAAAAGGAACCAAAGCTTTAGGTCCTTTCACAGCAGGACAGACTGGACTACATGTCAACACATTTGTGTGAAGTTCAACACTCAGCTCTCCCTTCCTTTCTTGTCTAAGTAATGCATTTGCACACCGTGCGAGTCAGACTAAAGTTACACTTCAGTCTGACAGAAGGTTTTTTTGCTCACCTGAGCCACAGCCTGAGGGGCTCCGGCAAACGCCGCGGTGGAGACGACACTGACAGCTCCGGTCCCATCAGCTGCTGCTGCTGCTTCTAACTGCTCGTCGGTCACCTGAACCACGCGGTACGTCACCTGGGGACAGAGCAGAGAGTACTGTAGACGGTTTTTATCTTTTAAAAGGGATTCTTTTGGGTGAAAAAAACATAAGCAAACAAACACACTGACGGCTTTATTTATATATAATTTTCATTATATCATTTCTGACATAGATTAGTTGACCGGTTGACTCTCTCAGCATTGGGCTGATTCTAAACACTATTTGGGTGTGTTGAGCTATTTTTAAACCATGAACGTTTTTATAGATTTGGTAAGACATGTCAATATTAACACCAGCATTGAGTCATCACAGTACAGTCATATCCTTTAGTTTACAGCTGGAAAAACAAGTTTAAAGTGTGCAGCCACTCTTTCAAAACATAAATAATGAATAAACAATGACATTAAATACACGAGAGAGGTAGGTTTTTGAAGAACTACACATATCGAGTCGTTTATTTAAATTGTTACAAATGTCAATGTGATTTTGCACGAGGTTTTCTTAACGTTACTTCTGGAATGTAATCTGTGAGTTGCGGTTTTACTTCAGCTCTCCAGAGTAAGTACAGTTAATATGAATCATTCATTGTGTAGTAGTTGTATAAATTAAAACACCAGTAGGGCAGTTAGCTAACATGTAAGGGAACTTCGTGCTGTTAGCCAGTGAGCTAACGCTAACTAGCTCACGTTAAGCTAACACAAATGTGCCATTATATGAAAGCTCTACAAAACATCCAGACTTAGCATATTTCTGTCATGCTAGACCCACTCATTCCTCCGAGGGACAACGTTCTACTCACTGATCATTTTAGTGATACTTAGTGTAGTAAACACTTTTAATCAGTGCAGGGTTGTTGTGATGTTGTAGCCTATATGGTGTAGCTGTTACATGTATTGATGTGATATAAACCACATTGTTGTGTAGAAGACAGGTCCTCCGTGCTCACCTGTCCTCCACTGTTCTCTGTGCGGAACTGGTACTGCACATTGTGGTCAGTGAACGCAGCCTGCGGGACACCAGTGATGGTCACTGCAGTCTGCTCCTCCGTCCCCACCGTCTCTCCTGCAACACAGAGGGCAACGTGTTTCAAATCTGTGGAGGTGCCCCAGGGCAGGAGCATCAATAACACAGATGTGAGAGGATTGCAACATGTCTGCAGATTAGGACTGCAGATATGCACACATGCTTTTCTTTTACAATAAGGGTTCAAGATCTCAGTTCTTATGTGTCTCAAAAGAGGCAGAACCTGAACCTGAACCACATATTCATACTTTGAGAAATTAAAACAGATTATTTGTTGTCTATTTTAGCAGAAAATGAGGCTCCCACCTTCCTGTGACTCCACCTCTTCTGTTTCCTGTTTTTCCTGACTAAAAAAAACAAACAAGAGAAAACGAAATTAATCATAATTATATTAATGTGGATCCAGATCTCAGTTGTGGGCGAACAGCGCACCCATGTGGTCACAAGAGGGGACAACGGATAAGACATAAAAATAAAGTGATGCATAACGGGCGTGCAAGCGTGACAGATGTAAGGTTTTCTGCAACTTCCAGGCGGAAAATGTAAACTTTAATAAATCAAAACTGAAGCTGAAGTGGTTTGATTTACTGCACAAGGAGAGACAAACTTCACAATAAACTATAACATTCTTAATTAATAACACCGCCCCTCCTAGTTAGAGTTAAGCATTAAACCCTAAAAATAGTTGCATTAGCTAACGTACTGTAAGAAAGCATTAATAATAAATAAATATCGCCCTGACAATATTGGCACAAATTGCTGCAGTGCATTCATTGTCTAGTAAATAAAACAGTAATCGGCATGTTACAGATTTACAAAACGGCGCACAGTTTTCTGCTGAAAAAATGTCTTTACGGATGCCGAAGAGCATCATCTCCGCCAGCTGCACACTCTCTGATCCAACCAAAACACCACACAAAAACAGTGCACAGATATCAAACGTATTAAGAGGAGCATGCAGGAATCGTAAACGGAGCACTGGAGTTAGCAAAGAGAAGGAAAACATGGTTTATTTTAGGCCGTGTGAGGGAGCCATGGCTGAGCAGGAAGCGGCCGGCAGCCTCTCACCTCGCCGAGCTGTCCAGACTCTGCTCCAGCATATCCATCAAGGCTTTTGTGGGTGTAAAAAAAAAAAACGCTGATATTCAACGACACTGATTTACGGAGATGGAAGCGCTGATCACGGGGACAAACACACGGGTCATGTGAGGAAGACAGTCCAGGACACGTGAGGCAGCCGGCCGGGCGAGGAGCTAAAATGGAGGCCGCTGCTGAGCGGGGAGGCGGTCGTCTGTGCGGAAAACACAACACAACACGCACAAAAAAACACTCTGGGTGTTCACGCGGGTACGGCGGAGGCGGCGGTGGTCCGGTCGACGGGGTTAAGCTCGTTATTGTAGTTTCGATGAAGTGCACGGACGGAAGATCATTTCCTGTGAAATTGGTTCGCTGGTAATGTGTTCGCCCTTGGTTTGCTCCGCGGCGCACAGCTGCTGTTTATCCGCGCAAAGCTGCGGGCTGCGACATGCGGCCAATAAGATGCGGAGTGGACTATTTTGTTCGTTTATAATGTGAAAAGAATTGATTGAGGGGGTTTGTTTTTGCACTGAAAATGTTGATTTGGCTTTGTGAGATTTCAGATATTGTTACCCAGCATTCACGTGACTCAAATAATTTAGTGGTTAAACTGTAGTCTCGTGTTTATTTCTGCGTTAAAACCTCCACGCGCGTGGATTATTTGCCTTGCGGTTTTGAGGCAATGTCATGAATATATTACGCAGGCAGTATTAATCTGTACAACATTGATCTGACAGACATTCAGCTCACTACTTCTTTTTTTTCTTCTTAAGGTTCTCTGCCCAGGTGACCGCGGAGATCCAATACGGGTTTTCCCACAAACCACATGACAGAAATCGTCCACGTCGAGCCTCAACCGCTCGCGCGCACAGGCGTCTCATAATTCACTGCTTTTATGTCGTGTCGGGACAGCTTGTACCTGTTTTTACTTTAAAACCAGGAGACGGGTTGAGTTTGAGAGCAGATAGAGGATCGTGTTGACTTTGTGCAGTCAGAGTCAACCTCTCCATCAAACTCAGCTGATGGGAGGCGATCTTCATCTGTCAGCACAAAATATATATATATATATATA